TATCTGTCACCACTAATTGGCTCTCTAGGCCTCTCCCCACCCTGACTCAGCAGCTGTAGGTCAGACTTCTCCAGTGTACGATGTACAGAAACCAAGAAAGACCAAATACATAAATCCATATAAAAGTTGGTAAAGGCTAAAATAAATACCAACAAAGCAAAACATCACCCCTGAAAGAAGAGTAAAAGTTCTACACACCTTTAAGTAACTTTTTTTAATATCAAACTCTTAGCAGCCTAATGGATAGATGGAAAAACAAGATATAGAGTGTTTAGTCCTTACAGTAAATATGTCAAAACAAGGAGAGAATCCAACCACAAAGGAATGGAAGCTCTTTTCTTTCTATCAGATATTGAGTTCAAATTTGCCATGCTAAAAAATTTCAAAGAAATGTAAGAAAACACAGAAAGTCTGATCAAAGATAGACATGAAAACACAATCAAATGAATGTCACAAGAAATAAAATCAATGAACATAAGATAAAAAATAACCAGAATGCAAAGAGATCAATAGAAGTGATACAAAGTTCTGGAGAAATTTATGAGAGAAAAGACCAAATGGAAGACTGAATCAGTGACCTCAAAAATGATGTGGCAAAAAATACAGATGGAAGAAAAAAGTATAAAAAATAGATATAGAACTAGTTCAAGAATTAGAATTATCTAAGAATTAGCTTTTCTCTATGAGGAGAAACAACATAAGAATAATGGTTATTTCAGGAGGGAAAAAGGAGAGAAAACAGAGAATTTATTTAAAGAAAGAATACAAGAAAACGTCCCCAGTCTGGAGAAGTACAAAGCCCATGGATAACAGAATGCCTGTTTATATAAATAGAATAAGAACTGCACCAAGACACAATCATAACACTTCCAGTCATATAATACAGAGATAGAAGTGTTGAAATTGGCTAGGTTGTAGGGGCAAGATAACCTGTAAATGTACCCCGTCAGACTTATATACAACTTCTCTGAGGAAACGCGGCAAGTAATGAGAAAATCGAATGACATTCAAAATACTTAAAGATAAAAACTACCAGTCAAAAACAGTATATACTGCATGCCTTTTCTTCAGATATAAGATAGAAATAAAGGCATTCTCAGACAAACAGAAACTGAACGAGTTTCTAAACATTAGAGCATCCATAAGAAATGTTAAAATGGGACAGTCTTATCTATATCAGAGAATATAAAAAAAAAAACCCAAAATTGAACAAGTTACTAAGTAAAACCAAAATATAAAAGACAAAATGGAGTTAGCAGACCCTTATATATTAATTATCACCTTAAACATATATAGAGGGAACTTACCAATTAAAGGCACAGAGTAGGTGGTGGGATCAGAAAATAAAACCCAGCTTTCTGCTGTTGCCAAGAAATGCAACTGAACACACAAGAAAACAGAAGCTCAAAGTAAAGGTATGGAAAATAATCCTACAAACAAATGGAACTCAAAGAATGTCACAGATAACCATACTTAAATCAGATGAAAACATAAAATATACAGGGAAAAGAAAAACAAAAATTTTGCAACATTGGTTTCACTGATATCTTTGTGGATTCATCTTGACAATGGCAAGAGAAACTAAAGAAATTTAAATAACTAGAACTACATTAATCTTACTAGTTCTGAACAGAAAAAGAAACTATCAATAAAACCAAAAGATCACCTACTGAGTAAAAGAACATATTTGCACTCTATCCCCTCCAGCAAGGTCCTAGTAAAGAACTCAGATAAGCAAAAGTAAAATAAATAACTGAATACAAAAATGGGTGAAAGTTTAATAGACACATATCCAAAGAAAACAAACAGATGGCCAATAGGCACATAAATAAATGCTCATCATCCCATCAGAAAAATGCAAATCAAATGACAAGAGATACCACCTCACACTTGAGAGAACGATCCACATCAGTAGATGTAGAAGCAACAAGTATAGGCAAGGATGTGGAAAAAGGAACCCCAGTAGACTGTATGTAAAGTCCCTTTTTAAAATACTATGAAGGGTTCTCAAAAATATTAGAAACAAATCAACTATATAATACAATAATTCCACTTTAGTTGTTCTACCCAAAGAATGCAAAACCACTCATTTTGAATGGGAAAATGCATTCCTATATTTACTGTAGCACTTCTTACAAAAGCCAAGCTAAAGAAACTATCCATGCACCTAAGAACAAACAAGTGTTTAAGAAGACATAGAATATATACACTATGGAATATTACTCAGCTATAAAAAGGTAAAAGCTTGGCATTTGTGTCAGTATGGCTGAAACTGGAAAAGAAAATGCTAAGCAATATATATGTGGGAAGGAGAGAGACAAATACTGATGTTTTCAGATATATGTGAATTATAGTGAAATCAATAATAGGACAACAACAAATCCTAGAAATTTGATGTAGAACTGAGGGTTGGACAGGGCTCGCGGGGAGAGAGCAGAAAAAAAAGCATGGGGGTAACCCTGTGGATTACAGTAGTGGACTATAGGTGTCTTGGAGTTGGGTATGGTATGGTAACATACTCTGAAGGCATATGACCTTATACCTCTGCTCTGAATTATATAGTATTATAAACCAACATGACATCCATATAATTCAATTTGGATTGGGTTTATGTCAATGAAAAATTCCTGTCAGGAGAACCATATTCAAAGGGATAGTGTTCCAAATGCCACACCTAGCAAATGAAACTCTTGGCCAGTGAGAAAACCCAGGCATAGCTACACGAGGTTGTACAGGCAGAAGTAGAGCCCTATTCTAAATAATCTTTTGATTCTATATCAAAAGATTTGTCAAAAAAATTAACATTCACCAATCATATACAGATGGCAAACAGTCTCATAAAAAGATGAGTATCACCCCCTTATTACTAGGGAAACACATTTTAAGACAATGAGTTATTACCTCACACATGTTGAGAATAATCAGATAAGAAACAACAAGTACTAGAAAGAATATGGGAAGAGAATCCTTGTACATTTCTGGTGGGGATGGAAATTATTGCTACTGCTATTAAAAACAGTTTGGAGACTCTTCAAAACTTTTTTAAAAATTAAAAATAAAATTTTGTACAATCCACTTATCTCCTTTCTGGGCATTGAACTAAAGTGTATGAACACCTGCCCCCCCACACACACACACACTTACAGTGTTCATAAAGTATTCACAATAGCTTGGAAACAATGTAAGTGCCGTTGACAAGAGACTCAAGAAAGATGTGGCATACATACACAATGGAGTCTTATTCGACCATAAAAAATGATGAAACCCTGCCCTTTGCAACATCAATGGACCCAGAGTAGTTTATACTATGAAAAATAAGTCAGGTGGGAAAAGACAAACTATGTAATTTTATTTGTATGTAGAAGACAAAGAAAAACACTAAAGCTTAGACTATAAAAAAGACAGTGATTGTGGGCCTTCCCTGGTGGTGCAGTGGGTTAAAACACAGCACTTTGAGGCCCTCCCTGGTGGCGCAG